AAGTCGAACATAGCCAAATTATATATATATATATATATATATATATATATATATATATAAATTCACGAGATAGCTTTTTTAAATACCCACGAGAGTCGTTAAGAGAACGCTCGATCTCGGTCACTAACTCTTGAACAAAGTAAAGCGAATAAAAAATTTCTACAAAAAAATTAGAATAGCGTAAAATTATCGCGCAAGATCGATTAAAATTGATTGCAAATCGATCGGTGAGTTGCTGTCGCGCGAGATCGTTTTCCTGATTATTCCTTCGAGGATTATGAAGCGGTATCGCTGTGTAAACCGCGAGTAGTTATATTTAGTCGCGAATGGAATTATTTGCAAAGTGATAAAGCTCTCTGGAAGCACGTGCTAATTAAATTTAGGGAGAAGACGAGATGTGTCGGTAGGAGGGCTTTCGAGAGATGGGATAAGCGCGAAATTCGGCTCCGGAATCCTTCATGTATCGACATAAAGTCGAATATGTTGTGTACTGGCGCCAGCGGGCTAACAATAAGCCACGTAAGACGATTAACCAATAACAAGATTGTCGTGAAAACATAATGCTATGCCGGTAATATATATATATCTCTCTCTTTGCTCCTGTTTATCTAACCAGCTAACCGGAGGTAAGCCACACAGTCAACAATAGCCGAGAGAAATTAATCCGAAGGTGAATTATGTCCGACGCTGTGATAACGGTAATATATGACGGTGATAAATCGACAGAAAATGAGTCGATCCACGCGCACGCCACATAAGCACAACTTACTTTATTTTTTAATCAAAAAGTTCATTATTTTCAAGTTTTTTCATAATTTCTTGATGCGAGAATAAGTCCTGAATAAATCTCTTTTAGATTTTACTAAATTAAATATTCTTAAGAAATACTTAATAACTCGAAAAATATCGTTGAACATTACAAAAGATGCGATAATAAAATACTGGTCTACGAATTAATTTTGTTAGCGATTATAAATATCATTGTAGTTGAATCGATTATATAGGAGCAGTATATATTTAATATATATATATATATATCTCTTTGCTCCTGTTTATCTAACCAGCTAACCGGAGGTAAGCCACACAGTCAACAATAGCCGAGAGAAATTAATCCGAAGGTGAATTATGTCCGACGCTGTGATAACGGTAATATATGACGGTGATAAATCGACAGAAAATGAGTCGATCCACGCGCACGCCGTTCTGTTATTAAATTTAATAATTATTTGCGTCTCGTAATTATGTCCGTCATAATAACGGGCTGGGTAAGGAGAAACCAAGACCAAGCGATCATCTTACTATAACCGTTTGGCCGCGCAATATACCATCTAAAAACTATTAGTGAATCCGTCAAGGACAGGTGCTTCGTTAATTTAACTTTAATGAGTTCTCCCGAATTCCCTACTATCTTCCGTTCACTCTCGTGATATTTAATTTAATAGCTGCATTTATCTGCATCTTTTAATTAATCTTTTACACCATGTTGTGTCCGGCTTAATGCATAATATACGATAAAAAATTATTGTGCTATAAATATAATTTATTATACATATAATAGTTTATATATTTTATATATAAAATAATTCGTATAATATTATGTGTTGATGGATATACTTATACGAGTGTTAAATGTATTTAAACATTTTCTACCTAAACATTATCGTGTTTAAGCTTTATTCAGTCTCTGACAATTGAATTAAATAGAGGGAGATTGTATTTTTAAAGTAATAATAACGCGTTTAAATTAAAGTAAAAGTCTGGAAACTTAGAGTGCGGAAACAGTTTTGCATCTTGCAGCGATGCACAAAACAGGGAACCCTGTCGCGTTAGCATCTTCTTAGCGCATAGTTCTCTCTCGCAGCCACTGCAAGAGCAACCTTATACAATGGAGCAACGGCGCCTCCGGTAGTAACAAGTTGCCGGCCGCGAGATAATTTAAAGTACCTCTAAGGTCGGCCAGTCGTTGAACTAGGGCGGCTTCCATTAAACCCTCGTTTACACGGGAACGGCGTGGAGCCGGGAGGGATAAGGGCACACGCGGGTTAAAAGAGCAGCCGGGAGATATATTAAAAGACGTCCCGCGCGCGCTTCCTGATCTCATTTGCGTAAGTGCTGTTGTCTAAACCTGGCAATGACAACGCCAGAAATATGCGGAAGCGGATTTGCTCTCCGGTTTGCTATTTATTTACTTCAGCTTAATAATATTATAATGCTTTTCAACTGTGTACATTGTCAACAAGTTAGCTATTTATTTAATTTTTTCTATGGTTGTATAAAAATCTTGTATGAGCTAATCTTGCACTTTATCGCTATTATATTATACTTAAAATTTATTTCAATAATATAACTTAAAATTATTATAAAATCTTCTATGTTATTATTTATTCAATCTTAAAATAGTGATATTAATAAATAAATAGAATTTTAATTCATTATATTACAAATCCGCAACAAAAGATTGAGATAAATTGGGATTAAGGAAAGATCAAACAGCATCACGAGTTTATATATTAATACGTGAGATATTTTTCTAATTACATTGTTTTAATATTACATATTACATTAATCTTGCATTTCTCATCGCGTCTGTAGCTATCAAAAGTTATATTATGAGACTGTCATTTTCATATGATTGCATTATGATCGGAAACCGGATAGAATTTTTAGACGTTATACCAAGAGGTATCCACGACGCGAGGGTCAAAGTAAGTAGAGAGATCGGTGAAAGGTCAGATGCTCTGCGCGCTTGTGCGCTTATGCATACCACGAAGATTTGCGCAGGCAGGCAAGCAGGCAGGCATTCGCCTATCCACCGGGCGTGAAAGCGGGCTCTGTAGCGGATGATGTCACGTACGAATTATTAGTAAAGTTTCCTATACCGTTCCTAGTACGTGCGTTGTCACGTAGAATATTTTACGAGACACACGCAAACACGATTGTCGAGTAAATACGTGAAGTTTCCACATGCCGTGACATTATGACGATTATGTCATGCTTTCCAATTCATTTTTCACCAATCTTAAAATGATGTAACAACAAAGAATATAAATAGAAAAGATTATATTTCATTAATTTTTATTATTGTAAATAAAGAAAGTCCGAAAGAAAACAAAGATTACATGCAGAATTATGATTTTTCTAATAAAATAACGGGAATAATTTTTTTTAATGACTACTATATTGAGAGATAATATTTAATATAATACTTTAATATCGTAAGAAAAAGAACAGCTTTAATCGAGGATCTATAAATAAGCCAAGAAAGCCAAAGCTTAGGGCCTCGTATTATATAACAAGTTTTTTCATTAAAAGATATATATAAAATATGTGAAAATAATTTATTCTTTTTAATTTAACTTGTCTCTTTAAAAAAATTATTACTTATCATTCTCTTAAAATTTGCTATCATTATATATCATATTATTTAAAATAATTGTACTCTATGAAGTAAAAAATCTATATCTGCCTACGATATTTATAGTGAAAACATGTGCATGCTTATTCTATTCACAATTTGCGCGCACGGAAAACAACACGAATGTGTTGCGAACATCATTCGCGTGGCATTATTTCAATTCCAACACGCTCGATTTCACCTTGCTCGAATGTGACGTATGTCACCTAGCATGCAAACGTGCCGTAACGATGGAATTTTTTTCTTTGCATCAAAAATCTCATATATCGTTTACAAATTTTTTCTATTTTATTTTTGCATTTACCTTCGTTCGCGTCGACGTTATAAGCGTAACGTATGACACGCCGGTTGAACAAACGTAATCCATCGCATTTACACGCGCGTTACGTTTTATGCAGTTCGTTGCATATGCGAGAATTAGCGAAACTACACGAAATGATCATTCGCAAATCCGCCGAGGATGTGACACGAAATAACGAGAAATAGTGTAAAGCGCGGATTATGTAAATTACCGTAATGTATTTTTTCTACGAAGTTTGACGCTTTTTGACGGCAACTTATTATGCGAAATGCTGCCGCCTACATTGCAAACTTATTTCCTCCTCGACGCTTTCATCTTTCCAACTTCCTTCATAATTTTAACGGAGGGAGAAACAGACTCGAGTTACACAAACAATCTACGGTGTAATACACATCCAAATAATATTTCCGAAGAAAGTTCATTTCACAGAACGAATTACACATCTTGTACTATTTAATCTTTGAATTTACTGCGCGCCATCCGATCTGTACATACATATAAATAATTCATTGTCAATGATTCTTTCGTGATTTATTTTCGTTACATCTAGATATATATAGATTGTTTTATTTAACTATCTATTTTCTTACAGATATAAATTTTGCGGATCGCTGCCAAATCATCTGGACGATAAGGATGTGCTAGATGATGATCAGCGAGATAATAATAACATCATGTCCGATACTATCAGCGGAAACTTTGGCGGTACGTTGCCGCACAAGAAACGCTCGTTAGGAGTGCATTTCTCGGACAGCGGACCGACCGGTACTTTGGATCTCGTTAAACATCGATCGCAAGATTCCTTCGACGAGAACGATCCCTGGAGGTATGTAATAATAAGAGTACCATAAAAACTATTCGTCTCACATTACGACGATGTCAGAAAAATATGCGGTGTGTTTTAGACATATCAAATATATAACTCTCTCTCTTCTTTTTGTTAGAATTAATTATACTTAATAAATTCTTGAAATTTATCGTCTTTCACTTACACGCGATTTCGAGATTTCATCGCGAAATTGTCGAAGAGCGACACAGACGGAGGCATAGCAATTTGGAGAATTCCGAGAACGTCCCATCAAATTTCAATCTACGTGAATCGATCGATCGATCGCGCATACTCTGGGGTCGAGCGAGAATCTCTGAAGAGTTTTCACTTCGAACTTGTCGTACCTTTCGCTCTCGTGGCGTGCACTCTCTTCTCGCGTTTTAAAGTTCGGGAAAATGATTCTCAAGTCGATTCTCGCCTCAAAATGAATTCGGCTTTCGGCGAACACGAACTCGTGAATCTCTTCCCGATGGAAAATCAACAGCGAGTGATCTACGTCTGGTTTCAGATATCAGCAGAGCGATCTCGATCTGGTGCGATGCCGTCACGGAAACTTTGATTCGGTCAAGAGAAATCGCAGCGCCGACACGGTGCTCGTCGATTCCGGCAGGAAGTACGGTCGCAGCGTAGCCTTGGAGGATAGGTGTCACCGTAATTCGGACCTCGACTTAGTCGGCACGCTGCCGAAACGCAAGCAAGACGCTCAAAACAGCAGCGGCAGGAGCCTCGAGTCGAACTCGTCCTCGCAGCCGTGTATGGTAAACGCCATCAATAACGACGATCGGCTGATGAAGATAGTACACAAACCTGACTGCGAGTTACTCAAGCATCGCCAACAGTTTGGCAAATGCGTCGATCTAAAACTGAGCAAATTGACGAGCGGCGAACCGCAGGATCAAGGATACGCGTCTGAACGATCACCCGAGGACGAGCATCCACCGTCGTTGCCAGGGCAACCGTTTCCAAGTGTTACACCCGGTAAGTAATAATATATATTTCTTTATTTGTCACTTTTCTCTCCCATATAGGTATATCTACGTATGTATATTTATGTAAATATATCTTCATTACTGCAAAAATATGAGCTTTATTAGATACTTTCTTATTCGATTTTTTTTTGCGTTTCATACAATGTAAATTAAAACGTGAGTGTTTGTCCCATGAAGAAATCAGCGTTATCGGACTATGTAATTAATGAATAATTAATATTTATCCGCTCGTAATCAACTTATTGTTAGCGAGCGATATTCATTGCAACGAATACTTTACGTCCAGTCGTGTGAGATATTCTCACGAAGAAGCGAATAATTCGGAAAGAAATCAGCGAAAAGATTGATACGTGCGAGGATTCGAGGATGCGAGCGCGCTTATATGATGTTGACGTAATAGGATTATGAAAGATATATCGGCGTATGGATTATGCACGTGCAAAACTTTGCCGTTTCACTCTCTGGCAACGCTTTCGTAAATATTATTTTACCGAAGATAGATACACCTGTACTCCTACGTTCGCAAGATCTATCGCAAAAATTTTTCGAAGGTCGAAACTTTTTTTCTCCGAGACAAATACATGGCTGAGTGGCCTCGATACGCGCGGTAACGAGCGGCTGATAAAGATGAATGGCTCGGCGATGATAGGTGAATGAAAATCGTGCTCACCATGCAAATGATCGACTAGCGCGGGCAAAGCATTTTTATACATCTCTCAATTTTCCTCTTCAGGTTTTCTCATTAATTTATTCCTTCGCATACTTTGATCATGATTATTAGATAACGTGAATATATTATAACGATCGAAATCTCTCTTAGTTCACGTGATTATTTACTCCCAAATTTACATAAAAAGGAAGCTTGTAACGAATATCGGCCGAGTGTCTTAATCTTTTCATCTATGATATTAAATTTGTTTAAAATTTTGCATAACAAATTATATGATGTAGAAAAAAATATATGTTATTGATTACAACGCATGACGGTTTTTTTGACGTGTCTTATAATACTTAATGATAGAGAGAGAATGTTTTGTAATTTGAAATACTTTAACAAACCAGTTTGTTTTGAAATACCTTGTTAATACATGACTAGACCAATCAAGCCCTCTTCATAAATTTCATTTGTCGCGCAAACTCCTGAGAGAGTAATAATTTTCATTAACGTTTATAACATCAGAACTGCGATTGACTGTAATCTTCCACGTCTTGACTGGCAAAAAGATAAAGAATTGTATCATTACAACTCAGCCATAATTTAAGTGAAATTTTTTTACGATTAATTAAAATTCTTGTAAAATTGCACCAAACCTTCGAAGAAATCTCTGCCAAATTCAAATAAATCTACATAATTTTACATATAACATATGTTGAAAATGGCATCTGAATAAGTCATCCGTGTTTGAAAAATTGCTTTCTATGAGCTTTGGAATGAATAATGCGTCATTTACTTTCGGCGCCTGCTGATTTCCAGACAATTTGATCAATAGCCCGTCCGTTGTAGACTTTACATAAACGTGTCTATATCGTAGCGCGTGAAATCTACATATTTTCAATTTCAATCTCATGCATTTGGAAGGAGCCGCTCACTATAGAAGCGACGTTGTTGACGAATCCACGGAATTATTTCCGTGCGTTACTTCCCCCGTTTTCCTTGTCGCGCTAATCAAAAAAAAAAAAATCCGAGTTACTGATAAATGTAAATTCTTATTAATACTAATAGGATAATAATACTTTTTAACTTGTAATTAATTTTTAAAATAATTTTGAGGAAGTAAATTCTCTTATATTTGCTTTAATACATGAATAGTATGAGCATTATATTTTATATATCAATTGTGCCGTGTATTTTTATTAAAAAATTTAACATGCAAATATAATATGACATTTTATATTTAGCATTCCTACGGTTTTTTCATGTAGCATTCTATTTTTTCAGTTAACTTATTTACGCGTCAATATTGTACGTTGCCAAAAAGGCGACAAAAACAATTTTTATTTCATAACAAAAAATCTATAGGATTCTCTCTCTCTCTCTTTTTTTTCTCTGAAGAGATTAAATCGAAACACTAGAAAATATCGTACAAATTCGTGCAAGCGATGAAAAATCCCAGTTTTTGACGAAAAAATTCAATTTATTCCATTGAATATGCCTGGATGACACGCTAACACGCGTCCTTAGTACATTAATGGCACGATTTAACAACACATCGTTGTTCATTGGGCTTGACGGGCAAATTTCGCAGCATAGTTGTTATTATCCTTCCACCCACCACTACCCTTACTCCCACGCACCACTCTTGCGTATGTATTCTGCCTGAACAGCGGTTCTCTCAGGGATCGAAGTGAAGGGTATGAAAAGTAGTACTTTAGCTCGTAAAAAAGCACTTTTCACTCGGCGCATTTCATAATCGTAAACCGCAAGTACCTCATGCATAATCTTTCAAGCTTACTATTAATAGAGATAACGTTACGACGATATGGTCGCGCGAGAAACTTTTCATCCCGTGCGACCAATTTTTCCGAATTGCGTGAAAAAGCAACATCGATGCGGCTTTTTCGCTGTAGATAATTTCACGATCACAATTCGAGTAATTTACGCGACTATTGGCGAAGGCTTAATGGTTATTTACTATGACTTCACAAACGAATTCGGGATCAACCGAAGGATCGCGTGTCGCAAGTTGATGAGGAGATTTTTCCGGAATCGTCGGGCGTTTTCGCACGTTCCGGATATATACGGCGAATGGCGGTGATACAACCCAGTTTGAGAGACCCTGACCCAGAATATACGCGATCCTTTGTGAACAAGTACGGCCGCGTTTGCTTTGTGCGGACTGGTATTTGCGGCGGGATCCAGCCTAGCTTCGAAATTATGAGGTAATGCTGTAATATATCGTTCGTATGCATAGCATGTCCCGAGAGTATTAAAAATCGATACGCGATAATTAAAAGTACGGATAAAGTATGCCGCAGAGTTTTCGAAACGCCCTATTAACTCCTGGTCTATTAATCGAAAATCGACATTTAATGAAATGTTTTATTTTTATTTTATACAGACAAAATACACTATATGTAAAAAGCGAACATGTATTTTATAAGATTATAACCGTTCATCTCTCATTTCTTGCGTAAAATAACATCTCTTGCGTAAAATAAGGATGTTTAATGTTTGCGTATAATACGCAAATTTCACCACAATAATCATTACTTGGATGAATAAAGCAAACTTGCAAAAGTAATAAACAACCATCTACTATTACGATCCTCGTTATAAAGGAACATCCGATCCATTTACTCTTCATCGAGTTAACATTTCCATGACGAGCAAAGCGAACTTGCCAAATCAATAAACAGCCACATCAGGCATTACGAACCTTGTTATGCAGTTTCCATGTTTCGCGGTGCAGATTGTTTATCCTCATCATTGTGTCGCTACAGAACTTCGCACTCGAGCGGGAAATATTCCGTTCACGTAGTGGCCGGAGACTTGATTCAGGATTCTCTTCCTGATATGAATACGGGTGTCTATGACAGAATATTAGTTAAACTCCAGACAGATGATAGCGATTCGAATCTTCACAAGCTATCCGTGCCTCTGGTATCTCTTCATATATATATTCAAATCAATTCAAATCACATATGTGACATTATTGCTATAGCTATTATTTTCTTAATTTCCAATACGCTTTTTCCAATCTTACATCTGGCAAGGCTTTAATCATTATTATAGTTTTTCTTTTAATATAATTTCAGAACTTAATTACAGTTCTCTTATTTTAGTTCTATATTTTCTATACATATTTTGACTGTAAGCATATCGCTGCAGTTTACCGAAAGGAATCAGCGAAGCGTTTCGCTCCCCTTTGTGTATCATTGAAATTAATGAGAAAGCTTCGGTTTCATTGTAACGAATATAATCGAAATGAATAGAGGCTGTCGTAGAGATAAAGCCGTTGTCGGTAAGATTGGCAGTAAATCTCGATGTGGATCGACGATAACGATGAACGTTATGAACTATCTGCATGCATATCTAATTCCTCAACTATTAGATTCTATTCCGAGATCCGTTCATAATACAAAAGCTATTCGATATCTTACGGAAGAATCGATTCTAGATTAATTCAAGGATATGCCAATAAAATTAATATCGGGACATCTCTTATACGGCGGAAACTGCATAATCAGAAATTGTTTTCATCGCGGAATTTATCGAAATGTCCGACGTCATTGAGTAAGTGGCTTTCAACCCTGGTGCTTCAGATTCGTGAAAAAAAGGGATTCGTCTTTCTTCGCCGCCGCCGCGAATGTCGAACCCATTCAATTTGCAGACGATCTCACTCGCCCACTTTGGTACCGCCTTCTTTCGCTGACATTGTAAGTTTTCTAAGTCAAGAATGCGCTATTGATCGCGTGCGGCCGTTGTACGACTGCTCTCGCCTTACAGCGAACTAGGTCACTTCGACGTACGTTCCATGCGTCTCACCTATTGACCCATTTGTCCAGACGCGTTGTCGGCGAAGGACAGAGGGAGGTTTGATAGGGTAGCTATGTTGTTTGGCAGTTTCGGCATGTGTCCTCGCGCGTGAAGAACGCTAGGTTGGCGCCGCTGGAATCGCGACGGGTTAATTCCGATACTCCCGACACAATGTTGCACCGATGGCCAACTGACCGCGATACGAAGGCCGAGGGATATCTCTCTTAATTTGAAACGATATGTGTGTGTGTGTGTATGTATCTAGTGTGATTTTATCCGTTAAAAGAGAGAAAGTATCAGAAACTATCTCAGCATTCTTCTAAGATTTTATTTTTTATTTACAGATGTTGAACACACACACATAATTATATGTTATATAATTATATTTAAGTTATATTTAAAGTATATATCTTATATATATATAAGTGATTATATTTATATCAATTATATTTAAAAAGAGTACAGTAAAAAAATTATCCCTTATATATGCATAAAATATAACAGGGTTATTC